CGTCCCACTCTTTTTGTCCAGTTTTGACTTTTGGAACTGTTCATCTAAGCACTTTGACTCATCAAATTCTCTCTATATGTAAGTCTAAAAATAGTCATGTGTGATCTTGTTTGATTTGTCTTAACATATAGATTATTAATATATAATTTTTATAATTTTTTAATATACAAATTACAAGATAAAATGGATTAAAGAAGTGCATTGGATGGTATGTAAAAATGAAAGTGGACAAAAAGAGTGGGACGGAGGGAGTATATACTCCCAACAAATAGTTTTCATTCAAAAAAAATGTGACTTATTTGTAAATATTCCCAACAAAATGGTAAATAAAACTAGGAACTGTACGCAGGAGTATTCATGATGATGATCATCATCATCATCATCACCACTCAAACTATTCATTAATCAATACAACCCTGCACCTTTATGACTGTTGGGCTTAACTCGTGAACTTTCAGCATTAAATGTTTTCTTCTGTCTTTAATATTTTTTCCAGTTTTATACGGAGTATTTTCAATATTTGAATTATAATTAAATAAAATTTCTTTGACATATTAATTAGATAATATAATAATATTTTAAATAAATTTTATAAAATATTGAATCAAATTTTTTTAATTTAGACTCAAAGTTTATTAATTTTGACATTGAAAAATCAAATTTGAACGAATATTCACATACACGTGTAGTATATAAAATACACAAAATAGTGTGAATAATGTCTTTGTGCACCTTTGGTAGGTTGTTTGCATTTATGTTGTTGTTAACCAAACACTCCTACGTGCATGCCTTTTTTGCTCTTATATGTAAATGTCTCTCTTATTATTACTTCCCTTAGTTTCCTTCCTTTGTGTCTTTGTCTTCCCATTTTCAATTCCTTGTCGTACTCCTCGTCCCATTGCCCGACTAATATTCGGGTTCGATTAATGAAAAAACGATAGCGGGATAAATTATAATTTAATTTATAATTTTTTGCATATTTGTCTGACCAGTTTTGAAAGACAATGGGAATGTGGTTTGTCTTTTTTTATTTTTTCGTGCCAAATATAATGATCTGTTGTGGTTTTGAATGCATCAGAGAAGTGCAATCCCGCTAAGGCCGGTTTCCAAAATTTTGTGGCCTAAAAGAAGGCAAAGTTTATTATCGATCAACTCTGCCAAATGTCATGTTTTTGAAGTTCAGAGTCTGCTTTTTATATATAAAGGATTCACACAAAATATTCATTTAATATTCCATATTTACTATAGTATAGTGTCTTAATTATGAATATTAAAATATCAATGTTGTAATATTAATATCATAGCAAATTAATTTAAGCGCGTTAAAAAGATTTTCTTAAAACTTAGACATAAATGAGTTTGTGTACAATAATTAGCTAATGACACTACTACAAAAATGACCTTTTAAATCGGTTATTTGGACCCTTTTAAATCGGTTTTGAACCGATGCAAAAGCCAGCGATGCAAATACTCAGGTCACTTTTTGCATCGATTGTTAAAACCGATACAAAAGCCCTTCACAGAATATGGCGCCATTTTTGTTAAAACCGATGCAACATCGTTTGTTTTGCTTACCGATGCAAATTGGACGATTTATTTGGTCGTTTTTGTAATAGTGAGAGGTTTTTTCTTTTTAAAAAAATTTGACTGACCAGAAATGGCATATAATTCCACCCTAAATTCATATTACCATTTCTGCTAATATGATGAATTTTGAGTTCTTATGGTTAAAACACACCTAAAAATAGTTGGGCCTTTAGTTTCGAGATATAGCATGGGCTGATTGGCTAATCATCACTAATCTTATACTAAAGGCCCATGCAGAGAAAATTTCAATTTGCCTTTACAAAAAATGTGACTTCTTTTTTAGAGGAAAGTTTATCTACTTACTTCCATTCCCATTTATAAACGATAATTAAATATAATTTCAATTAAACATCATAAATTCTAAAAATAAGATATTTTGGGACGATAGAAGTTTATTATGTTTATTCTTTTTGTTCCTAAAAAGATGTCAAATCTATTCTTTTTTATGTTCTGTAATATCAATTCTCTACCATATTATTCTTTCGTTCCTTTCAAACATTTTTTTTTAAATTCTCGGTGGTGTACTTTCTAAATTTATCTCCGAATTATTAGAAAATTGTATGATTTATTCCTGAATATTAAAAAATGCACTAACCAGAATTTTTCAGAAAATGCACGATTTACTCCTAAATATTAAAAAGTGCACTAAATACCCCTGAATTCTTTGAAATTACACAGTTTACCCCTTAACACCTAAATAAAAACGATAATTTTGGGGAAGGGTATTTTGGAGAAGTCACAAGGGCCAGATCAATCATACTCCTAATTCCCGTGTGTGGGAGCAACGCATCCCCTATCAAGTTTTTTATGACCAACAGTGTAACAATTTAAATTGTTCACGGATATTTAGTGCACTTTTTAATGTTTAGGGGTAAATTATGCGATTTTCGAAGAGTTTAATAGTAAACGATGCACTTTTCAATTTTTCAAAAGTAAACCATGCAAATTTCAAAGAGTTCAGGGGTTAACGGTGCACTTTTCCCAAATTATATATACTTCCTCCATCCCTTAAAAATTATCCTCCTATGAATAATGTGTGAAATTTTATTCTTTTTAAATAATTTTATTTGTAAAGTGGTTTAGAAATTAAAAATATAACATACATGTTTTTCTACAAAACAAATGCTGACATGACTATTTGAATTTTTATTAAATAATCAATGAAAAACGTATCTGTAAACAAAAATTATCGAAAAGCAAAAATAGTAACTAGGCCAATTATTTTGAGATGCGAGGAGTAGAATAAATTACAGGGAGTAGAATAAGACAAATCCTATGGTGAACCTACATATGAAGAAAATAAAAAAATTAAAAAAAAGTTTATGTAAGAATGTCTATAAAATTGATATGCCTCCAAAATGCAGAAAACTGCTCTGGGGTACCCCATATTTTGAGAAACTAACTGCCGGGTACCTTATATTTTCAAAATATACTCCGAGGTACCTTCTATTTTGAGAAACTAACTATCGGGTACCTCACATTTTTAAAATATACTCCGAGGTACCGTCTATTTTGAGAAACTAACTATCGGGTACCTCACATTTTTAAAATATACTCCAGGATACCTCCAAATATACATTAATTTTACGTCATTAATTTTAAGAAAGTTGAGTACTCAATTTTAAAAGTATTGAGTACAAATTTCTTCAAATTAAAATAATTCCAAACTCCTATTTCTTAAAATTAATGGCGTAAAATTAATGTATATTTGGAGGTATCCTGGAATATATTTTAAAAATGTGAGGTACCCGATAGTTAATTTCTCAAAATAGAGGGTACCTCGAAGTATATTTTAAAAATGTGAGGTACCTGATAGTTAGTTTCTCAAAATAGAAGGTACCTCGGAGTATATTTTAAAAATATGAGGTACCCGGCAGTTAGTTTCTCAAAATACGGGGTACCCAGGAGCAGTTTTTTGTCCAAAATGCACCAAAGAAGCTCTCGTAGAATAAATCATAGTAAAATATTTGTATTGAAAATTATGATTGGCTAATTCTTTTTTTAATACTCCGTACTATTTACTTTTTCTAATACTACATCACTTTTAAATCATCTTGTTTACTAACACGTATACTAAACATACAAATGTGATGGATTTAAATACATAAACATGCAAGGTAAGGAAATTTTAGAAAAAAAGGAACTTAAATATAATTTAAGTATATGATTGATTAATAGAAGGAAATTAAGAAGAGGTAAACGAATAGATTACTCCATCATTATTATATGAGACATCATGATTTGGTTTATTGGTACCCTTCGGGAAATTGGTGGAACTTTAAATAACATGCAAGATAAGAGTGAGTTAATTACATCATTAAGATTTTTGGAGCCATCCATATATACCAAAAAAAAAAAGAAAATTGTTTGTCAAATGAAAGTTTTATAGATATCTCCGCATAGTTATCCAAAAAATGAGATGAAACAGAACAAATTAATGGACACCAAACTATGGTTACACAACACAACCAATCCCTCGTTTTCAGGTAAGTTGTCACCAATTTAATCGTCTGCTTAATTACCACAATAATCATACTGTCTTCACATATTCAATGCTAATTACTCCCACGCGGCACCCTGGCCTCCGTTAATAAGTTAATTTTACATGCCTCTTGTTTTCTTAAAAATGCATGGTAAATCTTACTTCTTTAACCCTCTGGTTAACCTCACAAGTTTAGTTGATTTTCAAAAAAAAAAAAATTGACCACAAAGTCATCTAAATCTGAAGATGCAATTGAGAAGTGTCAAGGGTCAATTAGGCCGGCATGAGGATGGGTTTACCATGGGAATTAAAAGTTACTCGTATTAAATATCAATTTTTCGAACGACTTACTGTAAGTGGCTTAATTAAATCTTGCTATCAAGCTAATTAAGGTCATTTTAAGACATTTGACCCTAATGTCAAAACAATCACACATTTCCCTTTGACCCTAAGGTCTATTCTTTTTTGACCGGTGATCCACTATTGCACTATCACCGCACCTCACTATTTACACTGATGTATTATCATATTACGCAGCCAAATTAAACTCATGTTTAGGGGACTAAAACAAGGTCATTCTTAATTATTTTTTGATATGTTTATGACAATTTACTCCTATATATCTAGGGATATTTGTTTAATAATAATACAAACAAAAAAGAGAGATGTCTTAAGACATTTTTAATTTGCATGTACATACCCCACCCCACAAACGGAAGACTAAACAGACACTAATATATAACCGGTCACCCACGATTACGACGCCGCATGCGGTTGAGGATGAAACGGTTTCTGTGGGCTCTGATGGATACCGGCACCGGGGGCGGTGGAGGAGGAGGAGACGCGCTCGCAGGAAGGGCACATGGTGAGGGTGGTGGGGGGGAGGTTCACGTAGAAGGAGGCGGCGTGGAGTGCCCGGAGTTCGTGAAGCTCCTTCTGCAGCCTTTTGTTGTCCTCCTTCAGTCTCTCGCAGCACCTCTTTAGATGCTCGCAGTCTACCTCCGTCTGCTTCAGCTTAATCCTACAAACATACACATACATATTTCTATTTTTGTGATCTTTATTAAGGGAGACGGGTGGGTTCATGTCACATTAAATCTCAATGTCATACTCCCTCCGTCCCCCTAAGATGTTCTCATTTTGACTTTTAGTGGTTTTTAAGGAGAGTTGAAAAAAAGTAAAAGTTTACCATAATACCCTTAATGAAAAATGGGTGGAGTGTATTAAATGAGGTGGGTGAGGTGTAATAAATAAAGTAAGTGGGGGTAGTTGTGGTATTTTAATTGTTAAAAAATGAAATGAGAAGATCTATTGTGGACAAAGAAAAAGGACTATTGGGAAGATCTATGGGGGACGGAGGGATTACTATATATGATCCGGTTCTAATTAGGCACCCCGGGTCATCTCATGATATTAATCCTCCATGCACGGGAAACAAGCCGCTTTATTAATCTATTACTCTATTTTCTTCAATATAATCATCTCACCTTTTATTTTATACTCCCTCCGTTTTTTAAAATGGTTCTTGTTTTAACTTTAGGGTAAAATAAGGAAAGTATAATTTTAGTTGATTTTCCAATTTTGCCCCTGATGTGATAGTTTAGCTATTAGTGAAAAAGTATGATGTGATTTTTTAATAGAAAAAGGAAGTGTTTTAAGGAAAACAAAAAAAATAAAAGAGGAAGGGTTTTAAGAAACGGAGGAAGTACTTCTTTGGTCCCTTAAAGTTAGAATGTTTTTTACTTTTTTTCCTTTTGTCCCAAAATTAATTTCTACTTTATGTTGAAAATATTACTTTTATTATTATTAACTTTTATCTTACCTATCATATCATACGTATTCACTAATAACTATCAATCGCATCATACTTTTATCTATCACATCAAAAAAAAATTGAAAAAGGAGATTCAGAGTATAAGAATTCAAATAAGGAGATTCAGGAACAAAGGGAGTAGAATTTTTATGCAATGTAGATATTGTAAATTTTATTTTTAATTTTAATACCAACTACTTTTGTAAATATATTTTTTACACAAAATTTATTTAAATTTATGCGTGAAACTGTAAAACTAAGTAAAAATTAACTCAAGAGTTTCTCGAGCTGTCTTTTAAAGAATTTTTCATTTTCCTTTTCGGGTTTTTTAAAAATGATTTTTAATTTTTCCATTTTATCTTTAGAAAACAAATATAGAACATAATTAAGGATATCTATGATTCTCTATCTACTACCACCTTTCTAAAATATTTCTTTAATTTTAACTTTTTGTAGTTAAAATTAGTAAATTTTGACCATTAATTAAATAAAATTTATATTAGATATCTATATACTTTATCTTGTAAAATATCTTCAAAATATTATTTAATGTAATTAATATAGTACTATATAATTTTTCATTAATTATCGGTCAATGGTCGAATCTAATTGGGTATAAAATGTCAAAACTAAACAAGTACTCGGGAAGAAAAAGAATAATAAATATCAATCACACATTTTTTACTTTGTTTTCCATCTTACTCGGTATATCTTTATGAATTCAAACAATTAGAATCTCTTTAAAACAAATTCTTCTGCGATTCTAAGGACCATGCTCGTTTGATGGACCTTATTACATTGATTTTGGTAAAATAATTGGGTTTAGCAAAAAAAGATCTATTTATAAGTCATTAAAAATGTGAAGAAATTCTTAATTTATATAAACTTAAGATCACAGAAAAACAATTTTTTTTATAACGAATGAAGTATATTTTATGGAATAATAAATGAAAATATATACGAGGTATATAAATAAATAGGAAGTAAAATAAAAATGTGTTTTATAAAAAAATGTACTGGCACATTTTGGATAGGACAAAATATACCTTGCTCTTCTGTTTTGGAACCACACTTCAACTTGGCGTGGACGAAGATTCAGCAGCTTTGCTAAAGCAACCTTTTGTTTCTGCCATATTCACATTCATATAACATAAAGTTAGATAAAAAAAATGCTCCCTAATTAATAACCAAAAAAACATTTACCTAAAAAATAATAAACTCAAAAAATAATTTTTTTTTAAAAAAATACCATGTCTCAAGAAGAACATCACACTTTATTATTCAAAAGTTGTAGAAAATTTTATTTACTTCTGTGTTTTAACTGATTATATGCCAATCTTTAAAAAATAATTGAAAAAAGTTAAAATTTTGTTTTGTTTCGAATAATGTGACATCTTTTTCGGACGGGATGAGTAAATAAATGGGAATTTAAGTAGAAGTAATTAATAAAACTCACTGGATTAAGAGTGTTTTGTTCTTTGAAACTTTGTTCGAGAAAGGCCGCCTGTTCTGTGGTCAGCCTAAGCTTTTTCCTTCCCAACCCACCGCCGTTCTCCTCCTCGTCGCTTCCCCTCATCAATTGCGACGAACAGCCGCCTCTCTCCATTTCCCCGTCGCCGTTGCCGCCACTACCGCCGCCGTCACAGTTATCCTTCATCCCCAAAACCCCGGTTCTCAAGTCGGAAATGCCCATCTTCAAAGAGGGCGGTGCCGCCCCCGCGTGCTCCTCCTCCGCCGGCCGTTGGTTCTTGTCCAGCCACATGCCGGGCGGACCGCGTAACAAACCCGGTTCGGGCACACCTATTTAACAAGAACTAAAGTTAAATCTTTACGTTTCACATTTCGAGAAAAAAATTAAAGGATTCGGTATTATGTGAAGTTCATTTTATTAGTATTTAATTTGGATACATAAATTAAACTTTTATAATCTGTAACATTTATTTGTGTCAAGTTATACATATATACAAAATGTCACATTTGTGGTGGCTGTGTACTTACGAGCTCCCGGGCGCCAACGGAAGCGGAGTGGGCGGCGTGCAGGTGGGTGAACCGGGAGGAAATCGCGCGGAACCGGAGGCGGTTCGCGAGGGGGGCTACAGGCGGTTCCAAGGCCCATGCAGAAGCCCAAAGGGTCGGCGGTTCGGGCGGGGGCGGGCTTTTTTCTTTTTTCAAGAAACGGGAAGGGTTGTATGAAGGCGGCGGGGCCGCTACCGCCGCCGCTTCCTAAGCTCAGACCCAACTCCATGGGTGAGTGAGTGAGAGAAGGAAGGAGAAGGGAGCGTTTGGCTGGATAGGAATGGAGGAAATTGAAAATAGCCTGTAAGGAGAGGGGGGGGGGGGGTCTTAAAAAGAAGGCTTTGGGACTTTGTCCCATCCAAAGTCTTTAATACTGGGCGTGTACTGCCAGTCTAGCGTGGACTCTAGAGTATATAGACCCCTCTCTCTCTCAAAATTACGAGTATTTTTTTATAACTCGTTTTATTATTTGTGTTCTTTCCAAAATTAAATAAAAAATCTATAAAATTAATCGTGACATGAATATATCATTTTATCAAATGAAATTTAGAGTATTTCCTAAGAAGAATTTTGCATTAATTAATTATTCGTAAAGGTGGATTGATTATCTCGGCCCGACAGCCGACAAATAGCGAGGCATAAGTCAGAATATTAACTTAGTCCGATCCTTTGAACTATTACGTGTTCGACGGATACAAGGAGCTATTTTTCCCACTGTCGCAGTAGTAAAAAAAGCCATCCGTTTCATAAAACAGTTTCTATTATGGCTTTTAGGAGGAATAAGGAGCGTATATTTGTGGTTGAATTTTGCCTTTGATGTAATCGATAAAAATAAGATATGATGAATAAATTATAAATGAAAAAATATGGTAAGATAGGTAGTGTAAGAAAAAGTAAGTTTAAAGTAGTTTTTTAATAATAAAAAATTAGAGCGAGTGTTTAAGGGAAACAAAAAATGATAGATAAAGAGTTTTAAGAAACGAAATAAATAATTTGTACCATCAGCATATATGAATTACTTCATCCGTCCCTAATTTGATTACAAGTTGCGGGTTACGGAGTAAAAATTTCCTACTTTTTGAAATCATTTTATATACAAATTGGTATATCAATAAAATATAAAATTTACATATTAAAAAACTAGGTCAAAAGTTCTCCAAAACAAGAGGTGACAAGAATATTTTATTTTATCAAATACTTAATAAAATCACGTAAACATGGACCAGCGGATCGGGTTGCTACTAAATTGGCATTCAAACACAATAATTTTCACAACAATTTAAAACATTTAATTCAAAACAATATTTAAAGATCCATCAGAGTAAATCCAAACAGTTGCGGAAGCTAAATTCATAATCCAAAACACAACTTGGGAATCATGCCCGAAATAGTAATAAGTTAATTCAGGAAATAAATAAGAGTTCAAAATCGTCGAACACTGCCACGCACATCTCAGCCTCCTCATCGCCCTCCGGGATTGGCTCCAAGCTCATCATTTCCTGGATTACCTACGTGTAGCAAACAGGAAAAAGGGCTACACGCTCAGCATTGAAGCTAAGTGAGATAAATCTAACATACAGCTATACCCTTAGGCGATCCCACTAGCCCATATCACCTTACGATATCATGCACACAACATGCTCATCATATTTACACAACATACAGAATACAACAGTTGTATTAAACATCAACATTAAAGAGTAACAAGTCACAAGAGTACAATGGTAACTTCTCAATTTTCCACTGCCCTATGCTCTTTTCGGTACTCGGCTCTTAACCTAGACTGGGTAGAAGCTCAATTGATTACAACTTGCCTATGGAGTCATGACCTTCCCCTTCAGAACGAAGGCCAAGCTCAACCAACTCGGGAGTTCCTCGTTGGGTGGGTGAGATCCCTGTCCCCTTCGGAACGACAGTTCTTAGATCCCCGTGTACACGTTTTTACCTGGACAACCATTGGACCCAGCAGGTACCACATGGCTCTAACTAGCTGTACTTATGGCATACCTTGCCACTAATCCATTCAGGCCATTTCCTAGAGTTCTTCTAGGCAGCATATCCAACATTCATTAATCAATACATAATACAACATTCATAAATCCACAATCCGTTTCACAAGATGTCCAACATAATCAAATAGCGGCCTAACACTGGGTGTAGACACCCATGTTTACCGTCATGCAACACACAAGGTCTCGGAATCGATCCTCGACGCAAACAACAAAATCCAGCCCGGTACAGGTACCTCACGGTACCCCTTGGCGGTAGGGGTTACCGACCCCACGGCACCAGGGTACCGTCCCCCACGGTACGGGGTACCGTCCGTGTCAGTTGGGATCCCTCCGGTAGCCCGTCACGGTAGCCCCTGGCGGTAGGGTCTACCGTCACACGGCACCTGGGTCCCGTCCTAAGTAGGTACCGCTAGAGAAGAACGAAACCCGGAAAGCTGGCGGTAGCTGGGTACCGTGTCAACGGCACCCCCCTACCGTCTGTCGCGGCGAACACCAGACCTGCACCAGCTCCGTTTCTTGTCCCTTTGGCAGTACCCATACAGTGATAACAAGCATAATAGATCATGAAACATTAACCTAGCATTTCATAGCTTATCCTCAATCATTCCAACACAACTCATGTTTTTCAAACCATAAACACAGGCACAAAACCTAACTCACGTATAGTCCACATAAATCAACCGTAACGATTCTACGAACGTAAGATTCAAACCTACGAATATAATCCATACGTTAGATGACCACGTTCTCACCTTGAGTTCGATGGTTAAACTACGATATGGTACTCACGAACGACGGCGTCGGACTCTTCTTCTTTCTTCTTCCCTTCTTCTCCTTCTTCTCTTCTTCTCCTTCGTGCGTCGCTGCTGCCTTGATCGAGAGAGACGAGAGACGTGAGATAGTGGGGAGGAGGTTACGTGAATGTGGTGAGGCATAGGGGTTTAGGGCGTGTGAGGGGTGTATTTATACTTTTGGGGTTTTGGGCTCCGTATTGACTAAACGTACCTGGCCCAAATTGTACTTTCCGGCCCTACTAACTCCAATTTCGAATCCGGTTACACCGATAGACTCGATCCGTCGAACCCTACATAACGGTATAATTTTAAATATTAAACGAAAGGTATATTTAATTCCCACCGGGTCCGTCTCAGTTATTAATTAATTATTTCCAATTAATTAATTCTGATAGGCCGGGTTTCGGGGCGTTACATCCCCTCAAGCTGAACTCTGGCTGAAGCAAGAGGAAACTTGGACACTAGCTGGAAACTAGAAACTTTGAGAAGAGATAAGTCTGACATGCGTCGGTGGCTGCTGACGTCGTTGGAGAAGAAGAAGTCTGACATGCGCCGGTGGCTGCTGACGTCGTTGGAGAAGAGAGAAGTTTACGTGCGCTAGTAGCTGCTGACGTCGATGAACAAGAGAGAAGGTTGACGTGCGCTTGTAGCTGCTGACGTCGAAGAAGAATAGAGAAGGCTACTGGAGGTGCCTGTTTGACTGAAGATCTTTGACATTCTTTGTCTTTTTCTTGGATCCGGGCAATGCCCTATTTCTTTCTTGAAGGGGTGTAGAGGTATTCTTTCCTCTTTCACTACTTTCCCTTTTCGCTTTGCTTTTGAGTTGTTTTGTTTTTGGATTTTTATTGGTTCAACAAAAGAGAAAGAGAAGGGAGGTTGATGATTAGAATGAGTGATTTGAGAGAGAGAAAAGTGAGTTAAGAATTGGTGATGGAAGAGAGATTTGGATCTGAAATTTTGATATGGTGAATTGGAGAGAAACAACAATTTTTTTTTTCTTTTTTTGAGAAGATATGATGAGTTGAGAGAGTTTGTGAGGAGTTGGGTTTTTTTCGAAGAACAATGAAGATGACAAGAGAGAAGTTTCTCCTTTGATGGTTTTTTTTTGTGTGATTTCAACATGAGTTTTTTTTCTTTTTTTTTTCATTTGAATAGAGAAGTTGATTTGAGGATAAAAGATGGAAAAAATTAGAGGTGAATAGGAGGGAGTTGCCGTCGCCAGAATTACCGGCGGCGGCGGTGGGAGCAAAGAACTTTTTTTTGGTCACCAAGAGCGGTGGCTCTGATACCATGTTGAAATATGGGAAATAATAATATTGCTCATTGAATTATGAAGTACATGATAGAGTATATATATAGGAGAGACTCCTAACACAACTAGGAATAGAGAATGGAAACTAACTAACTTTATTTTGTTTTTATTTTTTGTTTTTTTTGAATTTCTTGCCTTTTTTGTAGTGGTTGAGGGGGTGAGGATGTTTGGATACACTTTTGGTGTACCCCTAGCATTTTACTTAATAATCTTAGTAAGACCAATTATAGTTGTTCACCGGAAGAGTGAGAAAGCGTCCCATTAATAAATCACTCACGTCCACACATTTCCTTAATCCATTTCAATACCTTTTAGGTCTTCGTTATCGTCGTCATCAAATCATCTTTCTGTATGTTCTTCCAACATATTTCAGGGCGGTGCTCGCTACTTATACAAATCCTATTAACAATTATCGTCTGTAGTCAGTTCAAGCCCTTCTCATAATTCTTCTAGATCGACTCTTTAATATTATCAATATATTCATGTCACCAATCTCTTTAGAGTAATTATGTCATCATATTATTACTATTAATATAAATAGCAATTCACTGTCGGATGTTACCGTAACACCTACATTTACTGTCATGCGACCCGTAAGCATCAATGTTAGGTTTAATCTGGCCAATCAATTGTGCAATCCAATTCAATAATTATATCTTTGATCATTCTCAATCAGTCTCAAATTCTAAATTAAAAGAGATCGAAGATACAATCTATTCAATCTGGGTGAAACTCAAAGCGGTTCGACATTATTTGGTTCGAGTTTGGGCCAAATAGGGGCTGATTTGGGCTATTAGCATCAAATAATCTATTATGCCTTGGAATAAATGATTGTTCTGTTAGAGTCTGTGTGGCACATACGATTATCGTCTGCGCGTGTCTGTGGAAAGCATGGAAACATCAATGAAGGCACGAGTGTGGTGTTAGCCTAGCTTTATTATTCCCTTTATCTTGTCTTTTCCCAAACAAATATTTTGATGAAGAGTAATGCGAGTGATACACCAAATTTAACACGAGCAAGTTCTACCCCAGCACTCATCTAACCACACATTTCTTTTATATGTTTTAATTTTATTATTTACGCAAAAATTTATATGGTAAAGAAAGTTATGAGGTACGAAGTACAACTCAAGATATAACTAGATATACTCTACCCAATCTTTTTTTTAAATAAAAGAAATGTTCTTGGATACGAGTAAAAAAGTTTGAAAATACCAAAATATGTATCCTATATCTTTTAAGACCAAAATAGAAGTATAATGGCAGTATAGTGTAAAAATACGCATAGGCAGTGTGATTGAAAAGCGATAATAGTGTAATATGTCAATGTGATCAGTCAACCATCGTCGATCTGTAGCAGCACTATGGTGGTCGGCGACAATGGATGACAGTGTGACGTTAATAGTGTGATAATTAAAATGTGACAAGTAATCAGGTGTTGGCTTCGAGTGTATGTTGCACAGGTAGATTCGAGTTTGATTTTTAGCAAGTGCGGTGGGAGGTAATTATGTTAAGTATATGGTAATGCAAGTAATCAGGTGTTGGCTTCACTCATTATTACTGTAATTAAAGTCTAATTTACCTCCTATTAATAATCATCCTTTTTACTTTTATTTTGTTCTTCATTGCTTTCCTTTCCACATCTTGTCAAACACACTGTAAAATAACAGTGAGTAATTGATAAAAGCAACCACATAATGATAGCCACCATGGTTTACTTTACTTGGGCAAAGAAATAACAACACAATTATGAGTGCATTATTATTATTATTGAAATCATGCTCCAATGACCCCATTTGACTATTTTCCACTCTCTCAGCGTGGTGGTAAAAATGTACAGTCCCAGTAAAGTTGGTAATTGGCCAGTGCGTTGTATATACTCCGTATAAAGTAGTGGTAAAATCTCACAGTAAATCTTTTCACGCTATACTCTACTCCCAACTTTATACACTTCAAATCCTCCGTATATAGCCCATAAACTTCGTAATGATTTGAGTTTTTGGTCAAAGTGATATACGGAGTATAGTAGGTTTTTATCACAAATTAAATACAATTTATATACAATTAGATATAGTAACATTTTAAAAATATTATACAAGAGAAACCTAATAAAACTATTCTGATAATAATATCTAATATAAAGTTTAATCTGAAATAAACAATAAAAACGCAATTGTCTAAGAAATGGTTTCAAATTCTCAAAACAATCATTCTACATTTCAATTTTGATGTCATTAGTAAAGTAAACTAAAGACAGCTAATCATGGATTAAACATGTTCTTGTCTAGCAAGCAATCAACCAATTCATCAACAAAAGCATTCTATTTTAATTTATTGGATGATTATTATGCTGGATGTAATTATTTAAATAATATTGTAAATTTTTTAAAAGAAATATTGAAAACTACACAAAGGTTTGTAAATTAACAAATTACTCTGTATTAGAGAATAATACTATGCATTGTTTACTAGCTCCGTCCCAATCTATTTGTCTATTTTGACTTTTTCGGATTAGATGAACTTTGAATTTTAAATACTCTCAATTTGTATAGAATATAATAAAATGAAATAAAGTTGGAAATGTTCTCAGCAAAATGATCGAATAAAATTAATTTTATACTAATCTACATTGTAATAAATTTATCTGTTTTTATTCAAAAAAGTCAAATTAAATAAATGTACTGGGATGGAAAGAGTATAACTCTCCCAATGATACATAGGGACTGTTTGGAAATAGTGTTAGAGATTAGCGTTAACGTTTTGGATAAAATTTTAACGGTGTAGAGTAATTTGAAAATGCTAACGCTAAACGCTGTCCGTATATAGCTTTTTGAAAATGCTAACGCTAATCTCTAACGTTATTCCCAAACAGGTCTGATCTGTAGTAAGTGTGACTAGTATTATGAGGCGGAAATATATAGTCCTCCGTAATAGTTAACGGAAACTTTTAAGTATACTTCATTTCGTTTTAGCAGACAAAATATTGTAAATTTTTTGATATATTTTCAATATTTTATTTCTATTTTGGTCTTTTTTTTTTAAATTTTGGGGCAACTACACAATTCTAGAGGAGAACCAAAAGGTGAAAAAAATTAAGTACTCTGAAAAAAGAAAAGTTAGGGAAATGTACAAAGGGAACGGAAAAAAAGGGTTGGCGCCTTGGCGGATTTAATCAAAACCATTGACCATATAAACGGGCGCCCCAACCACCGTTATAAACAGACCATTATATTACTTGACCAGTATTTGAGTATTTATCTACTTTTAATTTTTTTTTTTGAAAAATTGATAATTTTGTTATTAAATTAAATAAAAATGATATTAGATATTGATACAAAATAGTTTAATTAGATTTATTATATCAAATATTTTAAAAATATAATTTTATCTAAATAATATACAATATATATTTTATTTAACTATAGGTCAAATGTTTAAAATAATTGACCAGAAAAAGCCAAAACTAGAAAAATACTTAGGGACAGAGGTAGTATTTATATATGAAGATATTATTTTTTATTTTTTAATATTATTATGCCTAATAGGTAATATTAACAGTGCTCCCTTTGTTTTTTAAAATCATTCATATTTTAATTTTTGACCAAAATAAAGAGTTTATATATGTGGTTGACTTTCTAATTTTACCCTTAATGTAATGAGTAAAAGTAAGATGTGATTGGATATATTATTTGTAAAAAAATTATAATGTGATAAATAGAGTAAGAAAAAATAAGGATAAAAATGATTTTATAATAAAAAAGTGAAAGTGTTTTAGGAAAAGAGAAAAAAAAGAAAGAGGGGATGTTTTAAAAAACAGATGAAGTACACAAATGTCACTAGATAGTTTGTTTATTTAAAAGTAAAAATGAGAGAATTAATGAGAACTTAATTTTAGTTCTTTGGTTGGAAGGAGATTGAGAACATAAGAAATTATTAAAATAAAATTATGATTGTACCCTTTCAAGAGTAATACTCCTTAGTACTTACCAATTAATTTTCTTGTTAGTAAGGGGAAAATTAGGGGAGAAAAAGTATTTATTGAAATAAATTTATCCAGAGTAATTACTCTTAAATGTTGAAAAATTCCCAACTTATTTACCTCTCACAAAAAAAAACTCGCACCGTTCATGAAACAAACACGCCCTAAATGAACCATGTAATTACAGAGACGAGAAGAACGAGGTTTAATTTGCTTACACCTTAAAAACTCCGTCCTGTTCCGTTCCGTTTCGGTGGTCGCTCGGTTGCATCATAGCGTCTAACGTCGTTACTCTCCTCGAAACTCTCATCGTTTGAAACAAAAGGTGTAATGGCTTGGACTACCCTACCCCGGCTGGAGACCTAACCGTACGTTACTTTTCAAGTAACACAACATTAACTCAAGTTTAGCTTAATTACCCTGGTCAACAAAATGTTAACAAAAAAAAATTAATTTTTGGTAAAAAAATTTTTTATTAGACCATAACTGTA